AATTAAATCAAAATAATCACTGTTAATAATAATCTGAGCTGCTGCACTTGTAACTGTTACACAGGGATGTAAAAACAAGCACAACCTATAGCAGTTGGATAGCAAGCAATCAGAAACAAACCCTTCAGCATTAAATAGTGAATCCACATTTGCTATGGGAAGCCTTTAAATGGGTGCTTTTACAAATAAAAGGTAATTTGAATTGGGCTCTGCCCACCGCCCCATCCCCAGTGCTGGAATGCATGAATAAACAAGATGAGCAGTTTTGAAATGAAATATCTGGGATTAGGGGATGCGATTTCTGAACGTTTGCTCTCTTCTGAACACGAAACTGCATTTACGGAGGAATAGAAGCGGCTGTTCTCTTGACGCGCCGAGTGAATTGGGACGCGACCCAAGTAAGGCGAAGCGGTGTGGGCGCTGCACCTTCCATTCCAGCAGAGGGCAGAGCCGCTTCCCTTGCATCGGGGCGTGCTGAGCGATCGCTTCCCGGTGCTAGCTCTTCCAACACTAAAAGCAAACATTTTTTACACTCGAAACATCTCGACTGTAGAGGAAGGAGACGGCGCGTCTAGTGACTGCGGGGGAGGGGAGAAAGGTGAACCTGCAACTGAACGGAGCGAACATCCCCTCGCATACTGCTTGCCGATTCAGCTATTTGCTGCCTCCAGCTAGTTGGTTGGTTGTTTTTGCGCAGTAAGCCCAGTTCCTTTTCTGCGGCCGCCAGGGCTATAAAGTCCGGACCCAACGGCGAGCTCTTCCAGCTGCTGCGTGATCGGTTTCCTCGGTTGGCTTCATACCCTCCGTCTCCCATCTTCACTCTCATCTGCCTTCCCTTCGCCGAGGAGTCCCGGAGCAGTCCTAGAAATGCAGCCACTGGCGCTCTTGCTGACGCTGTGCGTCTTGCAAACGTGGCCGGCAGTTTTCGGGGACCTTCAGCACCAGCCGTTTGTCGTGCTGGGCAACGACTGGCCCAAGAAGCTGAGCAAGGTTAGTTTCAGCGGGTCGGCCTTTTGGCCCTGTTCTGCCGGCGTCTGGGGGCAAAAGGGTTGAACAAGTCTGAGGATTTTAGAGAGGGGCGTTTGGTTACTCACTGCTTACTGTGGGGGCGGGGGCAGGTCTACTTTCACACTGGTGACACTCGCTTGTGGCTGGTGATTTGCACACTTGCACATTCGCCCTGCTAGCACGACTCCCTAGTGCAACCTTCCCTAAATCCAGATCATTTGGATTTCCAACGCCCAGCAGTCGGCCGCCATGGCCAGTGATCGGGAATGCTGGAATTTGCCATGCAAAACATTTCGAGAGCACCGAGTTCAGAAGGGTTCTGTGGTTATGTTCTCAGTACAAGTGGCATTCCGTTTGGTTTCTCGGAAGTTGTGCACGGTATAATTATTTTCCCCCTTTCATCCAAAATGGTATACTTTGCATAGAAAACACTGTACTAGTTTCTGTGGATGCACATATCTCTTTGCTAGGTCAGGCTCTTTTTCACTTGGCATTTCCTTCTAGTGTTTATCTTGTAAATTTGAGTAAATAACTGAAATATAGTCTTCCCCACAATACATACATAAATAAATGATATAGTTAGTAAAGCTATGAGATGTATCAGTGTAGATTGGCTGGCATTGTACCAAGCAGTTAGTTGGAGAATAAGAAACAACTGATCTGAACCAGGAACCCATTATGGTACTAATTTATTTGCTTGTTTTATTTTGTTTCATTCTGTTACCATAGATAGACATAACACCAGGTATACCAATATAAATATTGCAGTTCATTCATGCTCCTAATGAAAAGTGAAATTTCAGGGGTGCAAAGACACTTGCTACCACTGCTAATTGTAAACCTTCCTGCCAGAGATTAATCACATATATTGCATAAAACTTAATAGGCAAGTAAATGTAACCTAGGAGTCATTACCAGAGCTTTTGACTGCTGTCTTGACTGTCTGAAGGTATTATTGTGTCCAGTTGTATCAGGGAGCATTATGACTTACCTGAGGTGGAAGGCATCAAAGTCATTTGCCTGTGTTAGAAGTATTTTAGCAATGCTGTCTAGGGAGCAGCCAGTAAGGACCTCAACAGTTCTCTTCTACAGCAACACCTTGATCCAGGCCAAAGAGGATACTTGTGAAGACACCCTTAAGTCATGTGAAATTGTAAAGGTCAAATTGTGAGGTGGGTTACAGTAGCAATCATAGTTGTGGACTGTAGCAACTATAGTTGTAGTTTTAAAATAGTAATGCACTCATTGCAACTGAATGTGGATTTGAACTGTTTTCTTGCACCCAAATCTAACACTTCCACCATTGCACTAAGAAGACCTGTTTGCTGAGCACCCTTTCCTTCCACTACATTTGCCACAAAACGTGATAAATTTAGCAGATATATTTAGATCAACTAGTTGGCAGTAAGTGACTAATCACACTGCAATATTACTCCTCAAGTACTGTTCTACATAGGGTCAAAGGGTGGCATTTTGTATGGAGTCAGACCATTGGTTTAAGTGAGCTCAGTCTTGTGTACAGAATAGTGGTTCTTGGGCAGGGGGTCTTTCAGAAGCCTAAGTAGATATTCCAGGAGGTGCTCTGTCAAGGAGGTGGCCTTTCTGTCCTTTACTTAAGAGTCCATCTGCTGTAGAGCAAAATGTTTAGATTTCTGAATAATGGCAGGATTTTGTTTATATTTTTTGCAATGATGCTAGCCTGCTTTTAGGGTAAAACCTTCTCAAGTCTCTGTTCATTTTTTTAAATACAAAAGTGCACAAATGGGCAGTACGTAAATATAGAGTAAGATACTGTAAGACAGGTAATAGCAAGACAGCTAGTAGCCCACATTTGATAAAAAGGCCAGTGTAAACAAGTGGAACATTTCTGAAGGTGTGACAAACAGAAATGTTTATATATTTCACTTCCCCCCATTTGTTCCACTAAATGCTACTGTTAAATTAGTCACAACTTACTTGGGAGTCTTGAGTCACCAGCCAGAAGAATAAGGTGTATTGCAATCTGGCTATCTTGCTAACATTTAGGGCAAGTGCTTCAGTACTTTGCCTTAATGTTCAGATAAATGTATTTCCATGTACCACAGAACTGCATTTAAGTTGACATTCTTGGGTCAGATTTAGTGCTGATCTACATAATCAGAAATACAGTGTAATATAGCTCTCCTGAAGCTGTATCACTTAAAAATTCAAGTATGTTATTGTAGGATGGAATGTTCTATATGGAAAACTCACTGCCTGTGTGTAACGAGCATGTAAAGGTTAAAGGTTCCAATACAGCCTTCTTTCTCATGACAATTATCCATATGTAAGGAGCCCTCTCTATCAGGGTCTCCAGCATGGTGCCTGTGGATGCCATGGTGCACCCAGTATCCTCTAAGAGTACCTGTGATTCTCCACGGATCCTCACCCATTCAATATTTTATAACCTTGAATAACGTTAGCCCAATTCCCCTTCCTGTTCTGAACTTGTTGCCGATGAGCTGTTCAGCAGGTAGGAAAAGAAGGGGAGTTGCTTCCTGGGCCCATCCAGACTTTTTCCATTCACACAGACCTGTCCCCTTTGCTCTCTCTCTTATCTTCCCACTCCTAGCCTCTAACCTTGCTATTTCTAAATGCGCAATCCCACTTTTTTTTGGGGGGGGCAACTTTCTGGTCTTGGCCTATATCCTCACCTTCTGTGCACACAGAAATGTACCTTTTGGTAAAGAAAAGTGTGACTGATTGGTTATTTTCAGTAATTGCAGAAGTCGTGGATATTCATTTGTCAGTGGAGACTTAAGAAAATATAAGGAATGTAATCAGTGAAGGACAAGGCCATTCTCTATTTACTTGAGTAAGCCAAAGCTAATCATGGTATGGGCAATGTGCAGTCAATGTTTGCAGAAGTTATTTGCCATCGATACTTTGGAGAAATCCATCTTCTACCTTCTCTTTCATGCTAGCATAAGTAATCCATATTGGATCTCTTGTGCTCATGTCCTACTAATAGGCTTCCTGCAGGCATCTGCGTGGGCATTGTAGAGCAGAATGCTAGGCTGGATAAGCCTTCAGTCTGATCTAGCACCACAGGCCTGGATTACAGAAGTGACATATAGTCTGCTGCTTAATAGACTGAAGTAATCACGACAGGTAACCTTGATTAACCAATTGCTTTGTTCGTTGTTACTACTACATTTCTGTCCTGTCTTTCTTCCTCTTAAGGAGGCTTACAAGGTTCTTGCCATTTTATCCTCGTAAAAGCAATCCTTAGAGGTGCGTTAGACTGAAAGTAAGTGACTGACCCAAGATCATGCAATGAACTTCGTGGCTCAAATCTCCTGTCTCCCCAACCAGCATTCTTAAGCACTACACAGCACTGACTCCCTGCATTTCAACAGCATGCATGTTGCAACCTTAGTGCTGAAAAACATAATGGTACACACAACTGTGCAATTGTCTTGTGCCAAAGTTTGCTTGTTTCTGGAAAGCAAAGCTCTGCACCCCTGACAGCTTTACAATGACCCTGTGACTCATAGGCAGTGTCTGAGAGGACACTGGATAGTTCAGATTCCCAGTTTTGAGCACTCCAACTTGGTGCTAGTAGCTGAAATTCCGGTTTCCCTCTCCCACCTCGTGACAGCCAGCACAGAAAGAGCCACTCTGGCTGTTTTCAGAAGGCAGGTAAATGGAGTTGAAGAAGGATTGGAGGGGATGTTTCAGTGGGAAGCAGTAAGACTGGAGTGGCCAGGATGTGAGGTATCCTGAAAAAACTCCTACCTCCTTCCCTGTCCCTTGAAATGCTGTTGTTAGACAACCGAAAATGACTGTCTTGCAAGATGCAGAGCTGGAGGAGCAAGATATGAAAGAGGACCTCAGATTTGCCTTCTCCTCTGCATTGAATGAGCATGAGCCTCTGAATTCAGAAGCTTATCCTCATCAGTATAGGATTGCCCAGTAGGTAACAGCAATTATTAGAGCTTTAATCTAACAAGAATGTGGAATGAATTGTTCTAATATTATACGAGATATAATAATGCCCCCTCTCCATTTCTCTGTACTATGCATAATTTTAAACATCTCTATCATGTCTCCCCTTACTTACTTTTCTTCTAAGCTAAACTAAGCTAAGCCAGTGCAACCCAAAATTAATAAGTAAATCTTATAAATGGGGGCATTTTAGTACAACAGTTGTAACTTTTTATATATGCTCAGAGATTTTCAGTGTTTTAAACCATTAATATTTGGAATGATACTTTAATTACAGCTCTCAAGGAAGGAAAGTCCTTTCCAAACCATGATAAGCATAATAAAAGTTTTCTTCAGTTCCCTGAGAATACTTTCTCTTGTGTTTTGGGACTTGTTTCCATTAGCCATAGCCAGCATAGCTATGGGTTAGGGTTAGGGTCATTGGCGTTGGAAGTCCGAAAACATATCAGAAACTGTATTCCTCATCCTTGCTTTAGGGTGATAACTGGACCCTTTGTGCAGGAGTGACCATGAACCTGAGATGAATCAATGTCCCACAATCCTGTTCAGTTCATTTTGATTGGCAAATTGAGTCAGTCAAGCAGAAACTGGAGGGTATGGTGTGACCTTGTCTTGTTCTGTGTATTCTGATTACACCAGATAATTCAGCCATCTTTGTGCTAAGTGATTGGTCAATGAATGGCCCTTACCATCAGATTTTAGCAAAACAGATCTCAGATCGGAACATAATAAGACAGTTAACTTCCCTCAACTGCAAGCCTCCTTTGCCATATCATTTATAAAAATTGCTTTTTGGATATCGGAGCTTTAGTGTGTTATAAATTACCCTTGGCCAAATCAAACAAAGGAGTCTTTACAACACTTTAAAAAAATCTTTGTTTGTTGAGACACTTAGCAGAGCTTCCTCTATTAAATAGATTGATTAAATAATTAAACGTCACATGCTTACTCTTGAGGGTTAGTGTTCCTCACATTTTGTGCATCAGTAACCTTGATGTTATCCAAAATGGGGCACAGTGTGGATAAGTCACAATGAGCTCCACAATGCAGTGTTTCAAGGCATGCCACTACTCATATACACTCATTCCTGAATGTACAGGCCTGGAATACTGTGTAATGAAATAGTGGGAAGTGGGAGTACCGTGTCAAAGAGATCCTTGATAGCACTCTCAAGTTGACTGAGATTTTCTTGCTTGGTTAGACAGGCGAGTTGCCCCTGTCTAACCAGTTTGTTTAAGCTGAGGCTGCATGTAATGTTAGAAAACTCCTACACAGAGAAGTACTTCTGTGTCAGAAAGAAAAAGCCAGTGGCAGACATGACTGCAGGTTAGGTTATATGTTAATTGCAATGCAGGAGTGCTTTCTGCACTGCCTTGAGATGTTTCTTGCCTTAAAGTTAGCCTAATGTTAATATAAATCAAATAATTCTGCATGGAAATTTTGCATTTTCAGAAATGATCTTAACTATGCAGTCAGAACAATGTGGCTATTAACTCAGGGGGGGACAAAATCCTCTAGCAATGAGGTGGGAAACAAGTTGAAGAGATTAGATTGTAAGGCAAAGGTCTGTGACAAAACTCCAGCTTCTTCTGCTTGACCAATTTCTTATTAGTTTTTTAGCTCCTTATCTCCTTTGAAGTTCTGCAGTAACCCTAGCTTCTATTTAGTCACTTCTTTTTTCAGATAAGCAAAATAGAATTGTAAAACTGCCCTTGCTTCTTTGGCCTTGAAAATTAATGAGGCCTAGTTGCTGGTTTAAGATTTATGCAGAAGCTGAATGGATCTATCCTCCCTGAAGGGATAGAATAGATCATTGGGCTAGACCACTTCAAACTGGAGGTGGGAAGGGTCACCCAATGTAGCTTTTTTGTATAGAGCCTCATTCTAACCCTTTAAAAAGGAGACGATGGGAAAAGTCATGGCTGTTCTTGGCTATATAAACCCTAACTACATTCCCTGTATCATCAGTACCATCATCATCACATTAATATCCTGTCTTTTTACTCTTGCAAAAACCCAAGAGAGCTTCAAGTCCTGCTCCCCATCTCTAGCCTCCCTGTCAGTGACGGGTCCTAAGTTTCCTAGTGAACTATGTGACTGAGGTGGGTCAGACCCCAGATCCCAGTCCAGCATTCTAAGCACTGCACCACATTGGCTCCCTTCATCCTTTCCCTCCCTCTTTCCTCAAATCCTCCTTGTGAGTGTTTGCTGCCTTTATCCATTGCATAACTCCCAGCCAACTTTGTCTTCTCAGCGCTCCTGTCTTTTGTTTGCTCTTCTGCTGTTAACATGCAACACTCCTCCGACTAGGTCATGTGATGTTTCCCCACAGTTGTTGCATACCTGACTTCTCCAGGATCAGATTTTTGTCTACTCTTAGGATTCTGCTCTTCCATACTACACTGAGATTCTTTACTTGCAGTCCACAACTGGTGGTGTTACCAAAGTTCATTGTGATGTAGATAGCATTGGCATAAAGCTTAACAAAGAATCTGTTGTTAAAATTCTGACATCTACTTGTTTTGGAGTGTGTGCTTTGCACTGACCAAAGCAAATTGACCTTTTAAATTCTTTTTCTCTTCACTCAATCTATCGAGTTTGCCATTTTTGTCTAAGTTATCAGTATTGTTGTTTGCTTTGGAAAATAGTGATCTGAGTATTTAGCGTGGATAGCAACAATGCTAAGCTTTCTGCACTGGGGTGAATTTCAGATGTGGTAGGACTAGAAAGAAACCTGTGCAATTTAACAGAAAACAGAACTATAAAGTTGCTAGGAAGTGGTTTGAAATATGGCTCCCATTTCCAGGGCTGGCTTAAGACATTTAGCTGTCTGAAACCTTCTTATTACTTGCACAAATGCCAGCTAGTCCAGCTGTTGAAAGTTAGTTCAACACTGCGGACAAGACAGCATCCTGCACCACACCTGAGGACAGGAGTGCAAGACAAGAGGTGTGACACACCCAGAGGTCTCTGCTCTGTCGCCTCACCACGGCCCCTCAGCATCTGCTACCAGATACAGCTGGCTCAATCTGCCTGATGGTAGGGCTGGCCCTCCCCATTTCCCCTAACCAGTGTCTGCTGAAGAATAGATTTCCATTGCAGAATCTTCCACATTTACCTTCCTGGTATCTATTGAGCATGAAGTCAAAATTTGGAGTAGGTATTACTTTTTCTTGGCTGAATTAAAATTACTTCTACTTCTGTCAGGCATGGTGCTATTCTTTTAACACATTTTTCCTCTAATTCTTTCAGGCCCAAAACTTTGCGTGGGAGAACTGTGGCCCTTCGTCAGATCCTGCTGTGCTTAAGAGTCTGTCTATAAGCCCAGATCCACTCACCATTCCAGGAGATATGTCTATCAGTGCATCTGGTGCCACCACTATAAACCTTGTTTCACCTCTGAAGGTATGTAAAGGTTATGGAGCTGCACCAGGCAGAAACAGGTCTTCATATCTCTGGTATTATCCAAAATGCGCTTGAACTGTTCAGCGCTCTTGAAAGATGCAACATCTCATCCAGGTCTGGGACCATATTGCTAAGGGCTTGCATGGCTCCCAGTGCATCAAGAACACTTCGCTGGGGAGTGGACATAGCACAGTTTCCCCTGCTCCCTTCCTTGTTCTTTCTGCCAAGATGTCAGACTGTCAGACTGAAGAAAGGGGACTCTGAAGGGCTCATGGAGAAATCCTGGGCCTCCTCAGGTGTATGAGTTGCTCCCACAGAAGGAAGTGGCCAGCCTTCAGATGTTCATAGGCAGGCACCTGTGCAACCATCAAAATTACTGCTTCACTTTTCTGTCATGAAGCGCTTCTCACCAGCTGCCATGAGGAAGGAAGTACTATTGTGAGCAAACTGGTTTCAGTTGATAAGCTTTACGTATCTACTCAGAGGGTCTGGTTCTGGATGCCAAGAGTGTAGCTCCCTTCCTATCAGTGTTAGCTCCCTGAATGTAGGGGTGTCATTTTAGATTTCAGTACTGAGGGGGTGGGGCTGCAAGGTTCTCATCAATGTTTAAAAGGCCTTCTGCTAGATACTGTACATACTGATGTACAAGGTGACTCGCATATAAGATGAGGTCGATATTTTAGGCCTTGGATGTGTTTGTCACATTTGGGGCATATAAGATTACCCCCAGTTTTTGCTTTACCATTTCCAGTTTC